GAAAGGACTTGAGATCTACAGAAAATGATTTCTATTCCCAGTTCTGTTATACTGTTATCTCTTCTTAAAGTGGAAGCTGATTTTTCCCAGACTGGTCACAGAATGAAGGATAATAGTGCAGTGGCAAAGGCACTTCACCAGCAACCACGTCAAGTATGAGACAAGAGTTTTCTCTTAGCCCTCAATACAGTCCTCTCCTCTCTGTTCAACTACCAGTTTTCTTCGTGTCATCCCTAGAAATGATTAATCCCTTCCTGATAATGCATAATTACAGAGAACTTTAATTAGCAGGCTGGTAGGCATTCTATAAACAACACCCCCCCATCATATTCATCGTGCATTAAATGACATTAACTGAGTAATGTATGCATGTGCCAGTGATCTTCCTCACTATACCTCTTGTCTCAGAGCTAGCAGGCATTAACCCTTTGTGGCAAACCTCACACATCTCCTGGCTGAGCTGGCCAGGATCAGCTTATGGCTGTGGTCAGTTGGTGGAGATGGACCAACTAATATAAAGGACTCTATAATGCCACTGTCTGCACCACCAGTGACTTGAAATGTAGGATCCAGAAAACCTTTTCTAGTTCTGTGTGTTCAAGTAAAAGTCTCACTAGCATCACAGATTTTTTGAGAGTGAAGATACTGTCACCAAAGCTGCTACAAGGCCTGTCAGAGTACCAGTTAGACTGCAGCAGAAATGGTGGCATGTCCTTTCTCCCCCATGAACAACCTCATTAGGAGTCAAATTTTAACAGTGTTTGCAGGTTACACTGGGGATTGAGGGAAGGAAGCATTGAAGACAAGGTGCATCTATTTAAAAGGGAAACACTGAAATGTTACACAGCTGACTACAGTGGTAGTCACTGATAAGGCTTCATCCTTCAGAGGAGAATGAGCTATCACCTAACAATGGGCTCCAGTGCTTTACTGACTCATGTCAGTCAGCCTTGCACTTTATGTGTCTGAGTCCCACTAAAGAAACAGGATTAAATTGCTTTCCATAGCCAAAACTTTAAATTTCTCATCCTTTTCTCTATGTGATTGAATTTTACATCCCATTCCAGTTGAGAAAAAAACCAACACATCCTCAAATAAATGTATGTGTAAAGTAGAAAACCACTTCCATCTAGATCTTATTTCTGTTTACCTTTAGAAGGAATCTGTGAAGGTGCCTGTGCTTGTTTATGAGAGGAGACAGAAGTGTAAACCTATATTTTATGATGAAAATGACAGTAGGAGTGACCTTGGTCCAGCAGATATTGCTTTTTCAACAGTGTCTAGAGGAGATAATCTAACTGAAGTCTGCAAAGCATCATGTTTCCTGAGATCCTGCTACAGTAATTCAATCATGAGCAGAAAAATTAGATGAAAAATAAGGTAACTAGCCTTCTGGGACAGAGTGATTACAATGAATGTTGCCTCCTGACAGTAAGCATTACACTGTCCTCTTTCAAGAGAGGTTACCTCTTATTATAGTCCACTCCTTCTTTAATTTCAGCCTGCTCCAGGTAGCACAGCTGTTAAGTGTAGTCTGTAGGACAATAAAAAATCCTTTTAGACAATTATATGTTGCCTTTATTGTACTAAAGCAGTGAGTAGAAAACTTCCAGCTCTTGACCTTTGGGATCAAATGAGCAATGCCAGACCTTTCTTGGTTTTGTTTTGTTTAAATGTGCTTTCCCTTTCCCTTGCCTTTCATTTAAGCATCACAGAGTACTTAATAACCATCAGTTTCTTAATCAAATTTTACAAACTTTGCCATCCATTCTAGAGAAGTTAAACAGAGCCACAGTCATGCCTGTCTCTCTAAACTCTGCAAAATATGCAACTGAAGGTTACAAAGCAGAGAACAGACTGAAACTGAGGTATGGTGGAGGTTAGTTTCTGTCAGTACAGAAATTGATTTCAAGCCACAAATATCTGCCCATGCATTTGTCCTGTGGACAGCTGAGAAAAAACAGTTTTTAAAAATTATTACAGGCTTGATCACAGTAAAATCATTTAGCTTAGATACCTTCAAAGATATATATGTGTCTGCCATGAAGTCATACTCCAGTGACTGCTACACATACTTTTGTAGGCAGTCACAGAGTACACAGCAAGACCTGAGCTCTGGCTGCTTTTATACAGTGCAGATGGAGAAGAAAGCACCAAACAGCAATAGGTACTGTCTGCCACTGTCTGCTCGTTAACATCGACTCCAACTGTGGGTTTTTTGGGAATCAGAGATGGGAACTCTTGGCAGAAGCCCTTGGGTAGCAGACATTGTAAACAAACACTTGGCCACTCTGGGGGGCTGATGCTGTTCTGCCTGCTTGATCAGCTGCAGGACAAGCAGAGCTCCTCAATATATCCTCATTCAAGCAGCTTTTCCATCTCTGTGTTATATGTGTATATGAATAAATAGAATTTCCTGCTAATAGAAAAATTACCTGAGTATAAGCAATGACATAATACTATGAGAAAACAAGGCAAGGCCAAGCTCAGACTAAGCAGCCTGAGGAGCTGTGTAACAGGACCTCTCCTATTAGTGGATCCCAGTGATTCTCCATCCATCCATAACACCTTGTTATATGACCAAAGTCTGATGGGATGATTACCTTTATCCAGAAATCTGCACTTCAGCCAGAACAGATGTTTCCACTGACCTGATTCACATCAGCCATAATGGGAACCAAAGTAAGCTGTCCCTGCTCTAAGTGTACCCATAGCAGATATCTGAAGTTAGATGGATCCTACATAAAAAGTGCTAAAAAGAAATGTTCCTGTAAACTGCCTGAAAGCAAAGAAGTTGCAAAACTTCTCACTTTCAGTTATGTAAATAAGTAGTAACTCCACCAGATGCAATGGACTGATATGTTTACAAAATCACTGAAAATTGAAATCCTACCAAGTCCTCTCTATTTTCTCATGTATATATATTTTTTCATAGGTGTCTGAATGGAGACACTGACTTTAGCTCCATAGTTCAAGCTGGGCTGCATTTGTGCTACATGGAGGTTGGTAGAGAATTTAGTCCTGTACAATGAAAATTCAGACAAAGACAAATTCAGCAGATGTAAACAGCTCAAACTCTAATGAAATTATAATGGAGGCATTGTTTATAGCAGCTGAGAATCTGGAACACAGTTTATTATGCAAAATAATTATTTTGTGTACTGGATTAATGTACACACTAATAAAACTCATTAATCTCTTCAGGTATTGCTGCAGGTTTTTGTGAATGAGACATAATGTAATCAAAACCATATCGCCTCATAACTGTTGATTAGACTTTTTAGAAACCTTAATCTTGTTATTCACAAATGCTTCAAATTACAGTAAAACAATTATCTTGCTGCAAAGGAGATGGACACTGTCTCTGGTAGTTCCTGACAGCTGTTCTCAAAATGAAAACAAGAAGAAAAGTCTACAAGGTTTTTATTTTTAAGAGACAAACTTCATAAACATAATCACATTTACTACAGAACTGAATGTTTATTGACACATGACACTTCTCTGCATACGTTTGCCATAGCTATAGATTCAGATTTAAAGTATCTAGTGCATTGTCCTGTTAATGCTATTTTTTTGTACTCTACCAAGAGTTAATTTTTTTATTACCTCTAAATGCCCTCAACCTGCAGTCAATCTTTCCCTTTTAGGGCAAGAACATGTTTTTACAATTGTCCAAGTCCAGACATTTAGCTTGGCACTACATTAACCATTTTATTTCTCCACTTTATCTTGATTATTTCCCATTTTACCATTTCAAGTATTCCTTCTTTATCCATGGTATTCACCACAAACAGTTAGTGGTAGCAATATATACTTGCCAGTCAGGGAAGGGGCAGTCTATGCATTGCCACATAGACTGCTAATGTTCAGCAGAGCTGCTCTGTAACATCACTCATTTTTTTCCTATGTTGTACACGTTTGTTTACATAGAATCATAGAATGGTTTGGCTTGGAAGGAACTTTAAAAATCATCTAGTTCTAACTCTCCTGCCATGGGCAGGGACACCTTCCACTAGACCAGGTTGCTTAGAGCTCCATTCAACCTTGCCTTGAACACTTCCACAGCTTCTCTGGACAACCTGTGCCAGTGCCTCACCACCCTCACAGTGAAGAATTCCTTCCTAGAATATCCAATATCCAATAAACCTACTCACTTTCCTCCTGAGCTGTTGAAAATCAGGCATTTCTTGTTGGCTTGCTGCTTTGCAAACCCTGTTTCAGAGGGCATGCAGCCACTTGAGCAGCTTCACCCATAGCAGCAGATGATTGCAGAGTGTGCATTGTGTGTGCAGTTTACGATAATTAAGCAGGATTAAATTACATAGGATGAAATGCGATGGAGTTTTGCATTTAGTCTTAACAGAGTCTTGCAGAAAACTGATTTTTATGATTCTTCTCCTGAAATGTCCTCTATCCTTAGCTTCTTGGATACTCACAGGCATTTTCAACTCAGGAAATCTCTGTTGGACCTGCAGATTATGCCAAGCTAAGGTAAATTTATGATGAATGAGCAGGGAAGGACTAGATATTCTGTACTCACATTATCCATTAGGTACCTATCTGCAACTGCCTTTTCTTGGCAAACTGTCATTTCTTTGTAGCTTGCTTTGAATTCCCCTGGTATTTAGAACTCAGTTCCAGTCACCCACAGTCAATCCCACCTCACTGGCTTCTTTCTCATAAATTTACTGCTATTTTACATCCTCCAGGTTTTGCTGTTACTTTAACTTAAGGATGTTTGGAGTGGCTAGAGGAATGTACCTCTATCTTCAATAGTCATATATGTACAGAAAAAGGTGGCAAATATTTGCTTTCTATAAAAATAAAATAAAAACGCAGAAAACAATATTAAGAGTAAAGCTTTAAAAGCAATGTGATTCAAGTATTTATGGTCAGTCTTTCAAAGCTGCTCACAGGTACATGGGGTGTCTAAAGATACCAATGCTGGCTCTAAATCCTACCCTTAGGCACAACAACTGCAATAACAGAACCCAACATACCTTCACATTTCAGGAGGAAATATTCCAGATTGTGGCTGAAGGATGCACTGAAATAAGTACAGTTTTCAATCAGATCACAGGACAGGCACCGCCTGTTGAAGTTTCCATTTGTGCTTGCACTGAAAAAGTTAATACAAGTCCATGAAGGTCACTGAGCAAATGTTATCTGAAAGCAACATTACTTGAACCTTACTGTAGAACAAGAATATAAATATAATGTGTCCAACATTGGTAAGAGACAAAGCATTTCCATTTGGTTGAGTTTAAATAGCAGTAATGGCTTTTTTTTCCTCTGCCTGAATGGAGAATATATAAATGGATACTGATGTCATTTTGCAAGGTCAGGTGGTTATGAAGGAAGGTACAGGTTTTAAAAGAAATGATGGTGACAATTCCACAAGAAGAAGTCATAATTCAGTGAGTGAAGGCATGAAACAAAGGAGCACTATTTCCACATTTACTTATATTATAACAGACTATAAAGAGATGGAATTGCTTTCTTTAAGTTTGCTACTGGTTGCCTCACGGGTCTGATTTGCTAGCAGCTGCCTCAGAGGCCAAAGCCCTTTTTAGGGGGGTTAAGTAATTGCTCTTATAACATCCAAGTAGAAAGGAAAGATTGTATTTAGGGATCTGTTTCTGAAGAAGGTAATGTGGCCTGTCCATATGCAGAGAAATGCTCCTAAGAGTCTACTACATGATGAAGAATGAAGTGCAGAACATTTTGCACCACTACAGCATTTTGCAACTTTAAGAATATTAACTAATAGATCTTCCCAGTATTACTGTAAAGCAGATGAGTGAGTTTTGCTACCATTTCAAGAGATGAGGCTGAACAACTTTTATAGGGCCACAGAGACTGAAGTGAGTAACTCTTGGTTCTTGTTTAGGCTCAGATTGTCTCTTTGACTTGAATCCTAATTAAACCTACTAAATCAGACATAAAAAAAAGAAAAAAGCCCTAAACAGATCTTCATCTGATATCAGCTGTCAGGGCTCCAGTGGAACTCTGTCAATGAACATATATGAAAGTTGCTGCTAGGCTGATGCCCTGAGGCTGGGACAAGAAACAAACCACCCAGCACAGGAAATCCACTCCCTGAAGCAAGACCAAGGTCACTGTAATCAAAGGAAGGTCAAGGACATTGACATTTTGGGCATCTCTTTCTCTGTTCCCTATGTGGGGAGGTGAGGCAGGTGAGGCACCAGGGTGAGAGGCATGCCAAGATGAGGAGGGGTGGGAAGCACTTTGACTCATGCCACAGCTCTTGGGCAGCTTTAAAGTGAGATTTTCTTCTCATTTCAATAGAAATAAAGGGTCAATAGAACTTGTTTTCACCTTTTCATCAAGAAAATAAACACTGTGCTAAGCTACTCTCAAAAAACTGTGGACTGCAGTGAACAGGCATAGAGATCTAGAAAGGGAAAAATGATTCAATTACAGGTAATTTAGCTTACTCTAGTTTCCTTCCCACTGAGCATAAAAAAGGGTATGACATCATGTGAGAGAAGGAGAATGTACTGACTGTCCCTTATGAACTGATGCCATTACCAGCTCTGCCCTTCACTGCAGACATTGTGATGGAAGGAGGATGACTGAGCAGAGAAATAGGACAAATGGAAAAATGATTCCAAAATGTTTATTTAAGAGTTTGGGTTTCCTCCCCTTCGTAATCCTCTTCCACAACAACTACACAGATAGCTTGCTATAAATCAACTCTTTACTCATCATACACATAGGGAGGATACTTGACTCTTTTGGAGCTGCAGAAAATGGTTTGTATACATAATATATTGTTAACTCTTTTCAGTTTCATGAAGAGCTATCAAATTTCCAAGGGAACTGCTCTCTGAAAGTGTAAAACCAGTTTATACCATTAGTTTCTGTAATTCTGAATTCTTTCAAGTGTTAAGCAGTTCTGTTGGAAAGTTTTGTGACAACCAGTCTTGAGACCAATTTAAAATTTGCATTAATATGAGAAAATTGCTAAATGTAAAACATTTCCAAGTGTCAAGCATTTTGTTCACTATGGTTACGTTGTTCTGTCTCTTCCAGTGACACACTGCAAGATCTTGCAATGCCATTAAAGACAAAAACTCAAGAAACTGCTTCTATTGCCATTGCTTCTGCAATGATTAGTGTAAGATTGAAGAAATGGGAAATTCTGTATGTGAAGTTAGTAAAGCACATACCTGTATAAATGTCTCCTTCTTGGCAAATCTTCTGTGCTGTGGAAATAACTGTGGGGAGAAAATCAAAAGGCAATTGTATCATTAGAAGAGTGTTTAGAAGTATCACATGCAACAACATTTTCAATTCACATCTCCATTTTCCTGATCTTGTAAAGGCAAGGTGAGTTTAAACAATAAACACACAGAGGGACACATCATTGCAGAGGCTCAAGGAAGTTGGAGGCTGCATTTGCAGTAAAAACAAACATGGAAGGGTTTGGGTCCTAGACTGGTCATGTTAGTGGATCAAAAAGGATCCAGTGATTAAGTGAAACATATCTACATTTTTACCTCAAGATTTATGGCTCAGAATTTCCTTGAAACACCTTTCTACTTTCTCTAGAACCAGTTTTTAACTTCTCTGACTGCTTTTCATGCTTTGCCCAGTTAGATAGCTCACCAGGTTGTGATGTAAAACCAACTGAAAGGTCCTCTTTGAAAGAGGGAAGGCAGAGAATGGAGCTGAAGAACACTTCATCACCTTTGTTTTGTGCTCAGAATGTAGTGAACTCTTTCTGGATAAGCAACAAAGGTCTGTGGTGTGGTGACAGCTTCTGAGGACAATAGAGGTGCTGCTGGAGGTGGCCAACCTCAGTCCAGCATGTGAGGTCTGAATTGATCCCTCAGATGCATTTGGAACTAGCCAATCTTTCAGGTCCCTTCCTGCCCAAGCCATTCCATGATTTTGTGTTTCTATAATTCTATATCGTACTGAAGTTATTGGTAATTGAGGCCATTCAAAAGCCTTGAAGAAAAATTGTACTCATTTATTAGATTACAGAGTCTTTTTACTCAACTGTTCAGTGACCTTAAGTAACTGAGAGGTAACTTTGTATCACCTGAAACTTGATTCCAGAAAAGCCTTCTAAATATTTTCTTATGTAATGTCTTTAAGAGTATTTGTAAAAGTGAACCTTTAGGGAAGATATTTTACAGGCATAAAAGGCAGGTGTGAAAAAGGGTGAGGGTTTCTCTGGCTTGGGTTTTTTTTTGTTTTGTTTTTTTTTAGGGGAGGGAGTTTGTCTTTTTTTTTTTTTCATTATTCTAACTAAATACTTTTTTTTTTGCCCTCTGATGCATCAATATTTTTGTAGGTCAACAAAAGATTCTTTTTAAAATTGACTATCTAGGCAGTCAATGAAAATAGACTTCTATCCTTCAGAGGCTAATATCAAAAGTTGCAGCAGGAGAAATCACTCCTCTGCATAAATATATTTTACAGTCACAGAAAGAGAGGTTTGAACTGTACAAACAAAATCAACATAAGACAGGATGTATGTAATAGAGGTCAAGCCAAAATGGAGACAAATTCTGCTTTCTTATCTCCACTCCCTTATGCTCATACATTTCAGATGTATATATAATACCATTGTAACTGACCCTATAGCCCACGGCTACCCAAAGGAAGATAGATTTGTCAGGCCAAAGTTTACTTACATTTTATGCCTCTTTTCATCATATGCCAATATCTTTGTCACATCCCAATCACCAGATGTAATAGACTGTAAGTTGTCACTGCTACTATTAGGCTGCCAGAAAGAAGAGAGAATTAGATTTCTTTATTTGTCACAGATGATATCTGAGCAAAGCTCCCCTTCTGAAAAAGGAAGCTCCTTTGACTCCATTGCTCATGAAAAACAAACCATGCATCTGTAATTTCCACCACTCCACCTGCTATTTCAGTGAATCTGCAGGCACAGAAATAATAGAAAGCTAGAATCATCTTAACCATAACACCACTGAAGATAATGAGATTAATTCAGCACAGAGCAGCTTCAAACCCCTTGGTCTAATCCAGCGTGCCCACATGCTTCTGATTAATCCTTTATGGAAGGGCAGGGATTTACTTATTCACCTATAACTAAGGTGGCATTAAAAAACCAAACCAAAACAAAGCCATGATAATGTCTGGAAAAAGATAGTTGGTTGACCTTGGTTTTATATTATCTCATTTGGAAATTCATATTATCTTATGCCCAATAAAGCATCATCGAAGGTTTTCTTTTATGCACAAGATCTTTCTACATTTGCACCTCCCAGTCTTGCCAGTACAAACACAGACACTACTTTTTGTTGCTGTCTGCCTCAGGTGAGACCCAAAGCAGTGACAGCAAGTGGTCACCTGTGATGATGACATGGCAATGTGGTAGAACTTCCCACGTCCTCCTTGGGGAATGGCTCGGACGAAGAAAAACTTCCGACCGTCCTTGGAAAAAATTGGTTCTTCATTCTGTAGGCAGCAAATTTAAGGATTGTGTTACTGTTAATTTATTGTATTTAGAATTGCTCAGCACTGTGAAACTCTGTGAAATTAATTCACAGTGAAGTAGAGAGTGCTCTCTGACAGCAACCCGAGGCAAACAAAAAGCCCACTGGAAACTGGAGAAAGTTTTGAAGATTATTGCTTCTTGCTCTTGGGAAAGCAGACACCTTCCAGCTGTGAGAAGACAGGGAGACAGGCAGCAAGGAGAGTTCCTTGGCTATAAAGTCAGTTCCCATTTGCAAAGCCAAAAGTACACATATACAGCTGACTGCTCGGGGCAGTTGGAATAGAGCCTTTAGAACTGGCTTGAACCTTGCTGGCACAAGTATGACAAGCCTTGTTTACTTTCCTGGAAGAATGGATCTGTTCCTGTCCTCGAGGAAACACAACTAACAACTAGCTGCTGTGTTTTTCAAGCCTCTTACAAAATGCTCCTCTCAGTGAATTATTTATGAAGGAGAGGATCTCTTGCACAACTGTCTTTGACACAGAGCTCCCAGGTGAATGTGGTGATTGACTTTTATTGGGTGACTGGAACTTCCGACCAGAAATAGAAGAGACACAACAGAAGAAAAATCAAACATCACATATGGCAAGCAAGCATCTCCTGGAAGGGTGTCTTCTTTTTGTACAGGAACCCTGAGGCACATGGAAGTCTCCACTGCATCAGATAGTTAAACAGCAGATTAGAAGGGAAAGCAGGATGGTCCACATGGTGTGACACAGGAGCACTGTACCAAGGTAACTGGCTACATGAAACTTACTCTGAATCTTGAGTAGCTGGGACTAAATAAAGAGCTGAACCTCTGCAGAACCCCTCCTGTGATATCAGACTTTTCTGTGGCTGGATGAGCCCTGCCTTCCTTGGCCCATGCCTTCATGGACCCTTCTTCTTCAAGGGCAGTCAATAAGGAGAGTGTTGCTCAGCCTCCTCTGGGTCCTCCTTTGGTTCAGTGTTAATCAAACACCATGGCTTTTTGCCTGGCATGTGCCAAGATACTACAATGAACCAGCAAGTGCTCAATTGTACTGGGAGATTTATGGCTAATGCAAACACCTACAGCAAAGGAATAAACATTTTTACTTCTCATAAGCTAACAAATTATTCATAATGTATGCTCCTTTGCTCCCACTTCTTTACTGATTAATTCTTTTCCACTGTGTATCAGATTCATCAATTCTCTATTAGGTGCTCACACTGTCCTTTTTTACCTTTTATTTTCCCCTGCTTAAGTTTTCAATATATTTTAAAATATGCCCATTTACAGCTTGTTGCAGCTGTATGAAATAATGGTTTCATTTGTTTCTGACATTGTCCTGGAACCTGAAACATGAAGTTCTATATTATTTCCAAATGTCTTTCAAGACAGAAGAAACCTCATTGAATAATGACTATGATAGCTCAGGCAAACCTTCTGCTTGACAGGTTTTTCTTTACTGAGGTAAGTAGCAATGAGTTCACCCTCCATTTCTATATCTGTGCCTCCTGCATTATATATTCCAGCAATATGTCTCTGCCAGTGAGAGCAGGCACTGTGCAGATGTGTCTGAGGTTCTTTCAGAGTTACAGAGAAAGGAGGTTCATGGCATAGATGACAGATCTGAGGTTTTTAGCACTGGGCTGATGTTCCAAGATAGCCTGTTTGCATGTTCCTGTTGCTGGAAAGACAACACATTAATGCAACCAGAATTTTGATGACTTATCCCAGGTGGTAAACGGGGGGACAGGCTGAAATTCTCTTGGAACAGGATTTTATACTGTAGGGAACCACACTGGGCACATAATTAAAATATTCCCAGTCATCCTCAGAGTTCAAGGATAATCAGTAAATAAAGGAAGACCTTGTGTCTGGAGAATGAATTCATGGGACTAACAAACCTGCATTGCTATCAGTAAAAGAAAGAGGCAGCAACTCCATTTCCAGCAACTTGCTTATTCCTATGTATCAAAATGATGCTACCAAAGCCTTCAGCTTTAGTGGAAAAGAAGGTGAAAGGAGGCTGCTGGAGGGGATTGTACCTCCTGAAGGATTCAGTCCTGAAGGACTCATTCTGGAGCTCAGAGCTGCAAAACACAAGTCAGTTTATCGGCAAATGATCAGGAGAAGAAACCAAGGAGTGCCTCAGAGGCTTATCCCAAGTTTGGCAGAATCAGGATGAGTGAGGGGACAATGCTAAATGCAGTCTGAGCTTCTGTAGGTCTTAGATAGGAACACAAATTCCTGGAGTAAAGACTGACAATTTTAAAAAGTAGAGTACATTCAATAGTGTTTGGAGATGGATCACTGAGCAACACTGGCCCTGCAGCCACTCAAGGCTCCTCTGGTGAAGGAAGGAGAGGCAAGGTCCATGCAGGATGGTGGGGAGTGTACAAGTGTCTCTGACCTTGAGGATTTGCATGATCAAATGTGCACTAGGACAAATATTTGAAAGAGGAATCACCTGCTTTATGGTGAGTCAAAAATGTGTGAAAGCTATGTAGACCCAGAAGTACAGCACCACCAGGAGACCCACACATTAACGTGGGTCAAAGGCATCATGCTGCAGCACCACAAGTTGCAGCTCCAAACTTGTGTGTCTGTGCTTAACACACTGCCTGCCTCCTGCTCTTCTACAGTGCTTTGCATGCTTTTGGCTGGACTCCATTTCCCCACAGAAATCGGTGGTAAAGCAGATTCTTTGAAATTTGGGTTTATTACTGACTGAGAATTATAATTCCATTAGAAATACATTTTTCTGGTTCATCCTCAAGTTTAAAAAGGAAACCAATTAACCTGAATAGCCCAATCCTTTCCAATTGATCCTCTGATGCATTTTCCCTTCCTCAGCAGTCTCCTGCCCTTTCTGTTTGATCCACCTTCGTCCCCATCCTAGAATTAATTCTGTGTAGGTATTTATTATTTCAGGAAAATGTCTCAATATTTTATGTGTCATGGGTCCATAGTTCTGAAAAACAGAGGTGTGATAGAAATCCTTTTACTCCTTTGTATATTGGTAACTCTTCATTTAAGTCCCCCCCCAAAAAAAACCCAACACTCAACATGCACATTGACTCTACTGGGACAATGAAGTCATCTCCTTTTTTTGGCACAGAGGGAAGATCTCCTTCTGTCTCCTGACACACCCTGTCCCTGGGGCAATGCTGAGCTTCATCATCCATCCCTGTCCCCACACTCAGCTCTGGTTGGGTGCACAACACCTATGGCCATCTCTGAAGCCAAGGCACCTGCACCAAAACACAGGATCATCAACTGGAGAGGAGAGGAGCCCATGCTCCTTGGTACTGATCCCCTCCACTGGATGAAATCAGGACTCTTCATTTAGGCATCAAAAAGACTGTTTGTAGCCAGAAGCTGCTTTTTCAGCTCTGACAGATTAATTTGGGTATTGAAGTTATGGGTCTCTGGGTCCTATTTCTGCTGCATCCTTTGTCTTTAGGCCAACATTAGGTCAGTTATGGTGTTGATACATGACAAAAGGGCTTTCCAGGGTGAAAAAGTGGGTCTTGTTTGTAAGTTGCTCTGAACTCTGTTTTTATTTTAAAAAAATCTCATTTCATAAAAGGGCTTTCCAGGGTGAAAAAGTGGGCCTTGTTCGTAAGTTGCTCTGAACTCTGGTTTTATTTTAAAAAAAATCTCATTTCATGCCTCCTATTAACTAATGTAAGAATAATTACTGGGTTATCATGGAGTCAGGATTAAGGAAAGGGAGTAGTAAAAGAAAAATGCTGTGACCGAGCAAGTCTTTAGTTTCAAACTTAGGTCATCTGAAACTCTAGGGAAATAGGAGGACTGGAAAGGAAAATGCAACCCAAAGAAACTGTTCTTAGGGGAGGGCAGCCAGCCCACACAGGCAGTTTTGGAGGTTATAGGTCTCTAAACAATTCTATGGTAATTTCCTAGTCCTGCCAATGTCAATGTCAAAGCCTACAGCCTTTGGTGCAGTTGCAATTGCACCCTGGTTTGTAATGAAAGTTTTTTCAGGCCACATTCATAATTAAATAAATAAAGCAATTAAAATGCTAGTAAAGTTTACCTTCAGCAAGTGCTCAGAAATTGTCTTATTTTTCCCTTGCTCACTCATTGTATGTATATGACCATGACCAGTACTATTGGAAAATGTCTTCTTCACAAAAATTGAAACAAAATTGTTTACAGCTAAAATTATTGTTCCAAAGAATTTATATGTTTAAACAAAAGTATGGGTAAAGTTCAGTCTGGCTCTTATGCTCAGAATTGCACAAGCAAGTATATAAATAGAAGTAGCAAAAACTTCCAGATTCCCTAGACAGTTTTGGTGAGTATGTGCCACATCATCTGACAGTGACAGATACTTTCTAACAAATCCTGTGTTAATACTGTATATTTTTCATTATATTTTAAGTAGTTTATCCTATTTTTCAGCTACACAGACAGTGATAACAGTATTTATTTCTCTTCTCCTGTGTTGAAGAGAGGGTTTTTTTCAGCTACACAGACAGTGATAACACTATTTATTTCTCTTCTCCTGTGTTGAAAAGAGGGTCTCAAAAGATTTTGGACTTACAGAAGAAGAACTTAAGCCCAGAAGGAAACATGAGATCGTTTATTGTGACCTTCCATAGACAGACTATTAAATGCTACTACTACAACAACAAAATTAAAATTCATGCGTTGTATTCTCTATCTCAGAACTCCCAGTATTTGAGACAGCTGAGAAAGAGTCAACTCTGTCACCCTTGGTGACTCCTTCATGTCTCTGGCAAGTATCTTCTGACACTGATGATTTTATCTCCTTGTGTCCTGCTCCCAGACTACTATGAAGTTTGTCCCTATTCCAGGAAGACCAGATGCACTTAAATTCCCAAGAAAAAGGTAAAGCCTATGTATGCTTTTCAAACCATGTGTATGGAGCACTTTGAAGGAGCATGTTAAAGAATGAGACAAGCAGGTGTGTTCCTAGGTCCTATTGATTTAACACTGGGCTACTTCTCAATAGGAGGTCTGGTCAAGAGCACACAGAGCAAGTTGGCCAAGCAGGCACTGGGTGTCTACTTCAGGGTGGACTGCACCATGCTCTGGGTCTATTGGTTGTGTGAACACACTGCTCACCACACAGGCTGTCTACAGAGGGGATTGGGCACCTGGCTCATATGTATATACCTATATTAAAATGTCTCAACCAAGGAAGGAATCTTCATTGTGAGTGAAGTCACATTCCTGAGATCCTTCAGTAGCTGCCTGATGTGAAATCCATTTTCTCCTTAAAGAGGTTAGGGGACTCGCACTATCATTTCACATTTTACATCATTCTCATACTCAGACACACATGCCATGAAAATAACTTGCCAGATATCCAGATTAATGTGCCATAGAATAAAAGGTAAATGTAGAAAATACAATTATCCTAATAATCATGTTCAGTCAAAACTAGAATTTTAAGTAATTTTGTTGTCAGAAATGCAGGCAAAAGAGCTCTATAATTCCTCAGACACTTAAAAAAGCTTTTGCAGGGTGCTATCAATGTCTTCAAAGTCCATAGAAAGTGTTATCTTAGTTTAATACTGAGATGTCTGACTCATTTGGCTGTAATGAACATCCTTCTCTAACATCAAACTAAGTGGATACTCTCAAACAAAGTAGATGCTCTTTGGAGCCGTAATAAAACAAAATATATTTGCCTGGAGCAGGCCCATTAGAGACTGACAGATTGTTTACTTTGGATATTGAGGATAAAGCACCATCTTTTAATGCCTGTCCACATAGTAGGGAAGTGACTAAAGAGCCACAGCAGTGCAAAATCACAAGTTCTACTCTACTGCATGAAGACTATAAAACACAAGTTCTACTACATCACAGTAAATAGCAGTGAAAGGATTACAACTACCCTTGAACTTACAAAATGAATTAATCTTCTGAAGTTGTAGGCTTTTAAATATACAAAATCTGGGCAATTTAATTTTCTCTTGACTTGGCTTGTCTTTTAATCTTTGGCTTCCTACTCAAGCCAACATAGTCCTTATGAATGTCAAGAATACTTCAGCAGCCTTTTTACCCTACACTTGTGTACAAACACCAAAAGATTATTTGAAATGCTTGGAGCACAAAATCCATTTCTTCTGTACAACCAATCTTTATCTGGATCAGACATAGCCCATTGCTGCAGGACAGCCACTGGAACAAAGGAGAACATTATTCTTGCTATGAACTGTTGTAGTGTGGCTTTTACAGGTTCTTGGATCCTCTGAACAAGCTGTGACAAAAATGTGAAATGCTTTAAATCTGGTCTTGGAAAAATACACAGTACAAGATCTTTATCTGACATGCTGTTCCCTGTCTGGCATTCACACATCCCTTGAAAAACAGTTCAGTGTTGTGGCCAAATTGATATCACAGCTTCTCTCTCAAGAACAGCTTAATCAAATCTGAGGTCACTTCACAAACTGACTCCTGGGAATGTGTTACGTATGATATTCCAGAGATTTATATGCTGGATATCTACAGGCTTTATATATAGACATATGTTGAAACAAACCAGTCCTCTAAAAAAAAAAAATAAAAGGAAAAGAAAGAGATGAAACAAACCAGTCCTCTAAAAAAAAATATAAGGAAAAGAAAGAGGAAAGAATAGAAAAGTCCCATTAATCAAAACTTCTTGCAGGTTATTTTTTTTCTATCCTGTATTCTACTTCTATTTCTTTCAGCATTTATTTTCATTGTCATTTTATTTCATTTGGGGGATTGGATTACAAAGCCATACAAAGTAATAGTATTACACACCAGTTTCAGTGTCAGAAGAATTATGTGATACAGCTGTCTGTTAAAACAGGATATTAAATTCCATCAGGCACTTTCTCCCCATTCCATGCTCCACATAAGCCATCGTTGTCTATACTGCCCCACTGAAGATTTAATTTCATTTTACACTTTTCTTACATCTGCAAATAGCTGCAGAGTAACACAGAAAAGAATCATCAAATGTAGCTTAAGTGACTTACAAGTCCTATCTGCATGATTTTCTCTCTGAATGCACACAGGACCTCTTAATAAAATGACTTTTGATGATTTGTTTTCAACAATGGACTTCTTTTCTGACTACGGACTAGAAAACAACACTGTACTGTTTTAAATCATCATCAGTCTCCATGAAGGGTAGAGAGGACTACCTTGGATGCTGTTGAGTCCTACACAGATACTGTCAGTGGGTGAATTTCCACGCATATCAGCTTTTCATCTCTTTGAAATCCAAATAAACAGCAGGCTAAGAACTATGGGACCTACCAGAGAATATGGCATCTTCAATAAGGACTTGTTTGTTACTGAGAAACTCTTTTCTATCCTACAGATCATGCTATCTGCCAAGTATCTTTCTCAGGTCTGGAAATCAGTTTTTCTCTTCTGGGGAAAGTACAATGAAACCAAAACCCTACCAAAAACTTGACTTCAAAGAGATGATCACTATTACCTGTCTGTGCAGCCAGCCATCACTCTCGTCTTCATGTTTCTAAAACAGAGAAAGATCATTAATATCATACCTGGCAGGTATTACATTTTACTTATCAGTGCAAGAAGCTGTTGAATTGAATTTGAAAGGTTGTTCAGAAATACAAAGAAACTGTGTAAATGTGTGCTTCAGGAGTGGAATCCAGTGGCTGTTCTCCTTTGTCTTTCCTCTCTGATGAATAAGCACTAGCTCAGGAAGTATTTTACTCATACAGACAAAACATATAAATCCACAAGATACATTATTCCCCAAAGAAAGAAAGGTTCTTAAGAAATAAATAAATGTTGAAATGAAAGTTATTGAGATATTTTCTGCACCATGCTCTATGCAGCAAATTGCATCATTTCTTCAAGGGATAGGTACATCAGGACTGTTTTCTACTGTGGAAACTTCTATGCCTGTTTAAAAGATAGAATCTGCTAATACTTACAGAGCTTGTATTAATACACTATTTATATTAGTGTGTTAATAGAAGGGATTGATTAACTGCAATTAAAATGTGTGTAGATAAGCACGAGTTGGCTTCAATGCCATTAAATATATATATAATGCCATTGAACTAGAATGTAGCAAAGATATTCAGGCTACAAACTCGATGTGTGTGTGCTTGCAGGTATTTAAAGACAAGTGATCACTCTCTTACACATACACAGTGTTCTTCACTTTCTAGGTCAAAAAAAAAAGAAGCAATTATAGTGAACAGTGTTTATACTCTGTGTCTGCCAAGTCAGTTACAGCTGACTTGTCACAAGGTAAAATTGAAATACTTTCTCCTGGCATGAGCTATGAAAACCCATGGCAAGTGAGTGCTTTGTTTTGCTCTCCTACCTTTGTGCAGACTCCAGTGGTGGCATCACACAGCGTCAGGATCGACACGTTCTGGGCCCTGTTCAGCCAGTTTACTGCCACCTTGGTGCTGGTTGCCCATTTCACCATGGTTATGTAGTAGTCCCTGCAAACACAGAGATACATAAACCAGATCACAATCCTGTTATCCTAATGAATTGCCATGTGGTAGAGCAGTCAGGGGCTGCTGCAGGCAAACAGTCAAGGAGAGACCTCTGGTTATTAAGAACACTCTGTCTTGATGTCTCTACACTGCCTTATGTATGGATTTCAACCCCTAAAAATGACATTTTTAAGGTTGGGAGTGTATTCATCTCTTCTTTGAAAATAACTTTCAGAAGTGGAAGATAAAACACTGAGATAAAGAATCTTTCAAGCTATTCTGTCTTCTGAGAAGGACTGAAATGCCTGGAGCTACAAATTTATGCACAGGTGGAAAAGAAATTGCAAACCATTTCCATTCTGAGCACACTAACCAGCTGACTCAGAGCCATCACTACCTGTGGTTGAATTCTTTATACTTATGAACAGTTAATGGCCTCTAAGTATGCCAAAAGTATCCATGAGTGTTGCATTAAAAGGCAAACAGCAAGAAGGACTGAGTTTAGAGCGACACAGCGTTTCTGTAAAGCAGAATCTGTTGGTTGCCATAAAGATGTCAGCAGAGATGTGACAGTTTGCACTGTCAAAACCATCCTCCCACACTCCCTGCACCACCCTCTATTGCTGGAAGCATTCAGGCTGTGATAATACTTGAAGTAAATCATGAGCGTGGGCTGCACACTCCTGTAATCAGTATCTTGGGGAAATGTCCTGTGCAATAGTGAGCAATGGAACCACCTAGGCTGGGCTGGAAAACACAGGATCAGGAATAAATTCACTGATGGTTGCCTTTTGAGAGCCAGGGAGCAGTGGTACACACCTCTGCAGCAATTCAGGGCTCTACCACTTTATTTGTAGGCTACGACTCTGGCTGAGCTGTCAAAGCTGGTGATGTTATAATATACTTCTGGGCTATGTGGGCCAAAGACTTCTGTGAATTATAATATGATTTTTTACAGCATTCAGTCTATAAAAAATGTATTAGTTCATTTGTTTGTTATAAAATATGTATAAGGAATTGTTGCTCTCCTTGGAAATACTGTGCTGTGTCACTGGAGAGTGCTTTGTGTTCTGGCAAGTGCTCTGGCATATACTGAAGAGAAAGGGCAAAAGCACAAAGGCCTGTTTGTCTAGAAAAATAACAAGTTGGAAATTGATTTTGTAGTTTTCAGCAATACTTAATATCTGAAAGTAGCTGGGGAAAAATAAGAAAAGACCTCAATGCTTGCACCCAGTGCACTGGAGGGAAGGATACACCCAGGTGAGACAGCAGTAGTCTGAAATATAGTGCCTGAAATAAAATTGCAATTTTACTCTTTATCAGCAATGGCCCTAAAAGGGGAAAAAACCCCAACAAAGCTAAATTAAACTATATAATCAGCTCTTCTTTCTCTCCAAAATGAACTAAGCAGATGCAGCCTCCACAGAAAAGGAAAGTGAATTTAGTACCTATTGGCTCGGAGTGTTTCTTCCATATATCGAATTTAAAGTTGAAAGAATGTATATTCAGTTTTTATATCTCCCTCTGTTTGAACACAACAGCCACAATTCTTTCTCAGGAACTTTTAATTATTATTTTAGGTGAATCATGATCTTCCCTACCACCCCATAGAAGGGCATGTAGTCTTGATTTCTCTCTGAAGCCACTCCCAGCCATCAAACCCAGCCCAGAGATAACTGCAGGTACTTGTATAGTCATTATTCTAGTGTCTGAGTAATGTGTAGTCTTTATTTTACTCCCCTTCATATATCTTCTATAGGACAACCAAGTTTTATGGTTCCCATTTTGCAGAGGAAAATGAGACAATAAGGTGTGATTCATCTTTGTTAATTTTAAACACCTGCTGCTCCAGCAGCTGCACGGGTTGAGCAGCCAGTAGAGAGAAACAGGGAGTAAGTGCATTTCCCAAGCCCTCTCTGCATGACCTGTCCCAGATTTTATATGGAGCTGATTTAAGGAGAACCTATTTCTTCCCATAGAGTGAAATCTAAACCAGCAGGTACCCAACCACTTCATTTATAGACATACATATCAGAGCAGGTTACACCCTCACAAAGGAAAGGAATAACTTCCCTGAGCCCCATCAGGAAGGGTAAAGCAATCCTGAGCTTTGCAATGTATTTCCCTGTCCCAGTAAAGACATTGGTGGTTGGGTTTTCAATCACCTGAGAGTGGTTATGGTGCAGAACCCTTGTTCATACCCCAGCTTTCCATGGCTGCTTCCTGGAGGTATGAATGCAAAACATGAGGTGTGAATTGACAATATGAATACTTACAGTATGACCACAGCAATAAAGCCACAAACACCACAAAGAACAGACAGTGATATATTATGTGGCCAAGTGACAGGCAGCAGCCCAGTCTGCAGTCCCTGGAGCATACAACTCCTACCTTGGATCTAGACTAGAGTTCTCTGAATTTCTCTAGTATTTATTTGTTCCTGGTCTATGCAAAGACCAGTGATGATTTCTGCACTCAGGGGAGATAACATCATTCCTTAATTTGCCACCTGAGATGCAAATATGATGTGAGAAATAAGCTGGGTCATGATCCACTTCTGACCACCTACTGATGCAACTCTTGAGGACCAGTGGTTTCACCAAAATAAAAAATGCCTGTGAGGCACGAAATGTGACCATCCTTTTTTTTTGTTTAAAGTTTTCCCTGCAATTTCCACCCTTTCTCTGCACGAAATGTGACCATCCTTTTTTTTTAAAAAAAAAACTTTTCCCTGCAGTTTCCACCCCTTCTCCCACTTTCTTTTCCTCACAGAAAAGCATGGTATTAGAGGAAATATGGCAAAAATGTTCAGAATGAAAGAATTTTTAAAAGGAGAAATTATCAATATTGTACATTTCCTCCCCAAAATATGTTTCCCCATAATCAGCTTCGGTTTAGGTTTTGTTTTGAAACTAAAAATTATCCCATTTCTGTGGAAAATTTCTTACTTCTATTTTGAAAGAAAAAAGTTTGTGGCATATTTTCACTTTCGTCTCAGCTTTATTAATTGTACTAAACCGCTTGCAGATAAAAAGAACACCATTAAATACTCCTCTGTCCATATATCATCTGTGTGAACAGATTGAGCACATTGAAATGCTTTAGATAGGATGAGCCTGCTTGAAGATCCTTATCACCAGCTTCTCCTGCCTCCTTGAAACTCCCTCCTGTAACTAACTGCACAGTACATCCCTCTTGCCTGTTTTAATGAAATGTTATCACACTAATCCTCTTATTTCAGAAAATATATGCATAATGAAAATGCAACCCTATTCATAGAATCATAGAATCATAG